TGGACGTAATTCCACATATGAAGACTGGCTAGCCTGGTACGAACGGCATGAGGTGCATCAATTGTTTCAGTCCCTTCCTGAATATTCAACTATGGCTGATCAACTACTTCACCAGCCTCAATTTCCGACTTTGGCCTCAGTTATGGGAGCTCTCACTGCTTATGAGACCCGGCAGCAGACAGCACGACTCAATTTGTCAACAGACACTCCTACCTCTTCACTCGAGACTGTTTTGTCTGTACCTGTCACTGCTCCTGTTATGAATTATACTTCTCCACAGGCTCCCTCTCCACAGGCTCGATCTAAGCTCTCTTGCAAATATTGTAAGAAGGAAGGACACCGCATTGAGACATGCTTCAAGCTTCATCCTGAGTTACGTTCCTCAGGTACTGGACGTGGTCGGCGACCCCCTCAGTCTCAACCCTCTCGTACACCAGGATTGTTGGCCAATGCTATACCTTCTACTACTTCAGACTCTACTATTCAAGCTATTGAAAGTCTTCGCCGTCAACTTGATGCTTTTCAACATATCACCTCTACATCCGCCGCACAACTCTCTGGTATGCATTTTGCTGGTTCTTCAGCTAATCCTTCAGTCTCTGGTATGAATGATCTCTGGATTTTTGACTCTGGTTGTTCCTTTCATATGACTTGTAATGCCTCACTTTTATCCTCTGTCTTTACTTCATCCTCTCTTCCTCCTATCTACACAGCTGCTGGACAACCATTGTCCATTACTCAGTATGGCTCTATTACCCCACAAAATGATCCATCTGGTCGTCTAACACTTGGTCCCGTCTATGTGGCTCCACAATTGTGCTTGAATTTAATTTCTATTAGCTCTTTATGCATGGCGGGCCTGTTTGTCTCATTTTCTTCTGATACTTGTATTGTGCAGGATCCACAGACGGGCAAGACGGTTGGGGCGGGTCGTAGGAGGCACAAACTGTATTTTCTGGAATATCTTCACCTTCCAGAGTCCATACGTCCACGTTCTCTTGTTGCTTCTCTTTGTTCGTCTAAAACCCACTACAATACACTATTATCAACAATAGCAAAGTCATATTCCTTTACCAAGATGATTTTCTAGAAAAGGTTATAATGTACATTTCAATAAGATTTCTCCCAGATTTTTGAGAAAATGTATTACAAGTTTGATGATATCTGGTTCCTAGCCTTTTAATAACTATTCTTAGTGTAAACAACTTACTGGAAAATTGCTGATAATGAGGTTGATACTTCGAAAACCCAAATTATTTCATGTATAAAATAGAAACTTATATTTCTCCTATTAATACAAGAAGCAGAATCGCTTGTTATATACCTTCCAACTCAGAGAAGCATCAAAAGTATCACATGCAAATGCTTCAAGACCAGAGCCGGATTTCTGCAAACAAAGAAATGAAAATAAGATAATAGATTAAAACTTTTTTTTAGGAAAATAGTTTTAAAAAAAGTACTATGTCTAGCTATATTCTTATGCATATGCACCATTCATTTATGACTATGTCAATAAATACAGCTAAAAGGCTCAGCATCCAAGGAAAAACAAATTTCCACTCACATTATCAGTATTGAATGATAGTACACCTTCAAGATTTGACAATTTTGGTGTAACCAATCTGCACAAAGATCGATATAAAGTTTTGTTGTCAGCAAATATAAAAGATGAAGCATTGAGTACAAAGTTACACAGTACATAAAGTGAACAGTTTGCCAGAAGAATAGCATTCTTCATGGCAGAGTTATGCAGCACTAACTCATCAAATGATAATACACGGTTCTAGCATCAAACGGATACTGATAGAATCACAGAAAATTTTCAGGAGTATAAGGATTTACTTGTTTTTAATGTCTTCTTCCCTTCAACCTAACCTAAGAGCATCAGTTGTCAAAACAATGGCCTTGAATCCATTGCTCTCAGCTCTCTTAACCAACTTGACTGCAATATCTCGTCTTTTGTAAACCTATAAAATTGCCAAAAAAAAGAACCCTTAAAGATCAATCTGAACAGTAGATGAAACTGTTAAATATAACGTACGCATAACTGAAATAAGCGAATTGCGTTGCAGCTTGAAGCCACTTCCTCGATAGTACAGTGAGAGCAAAAGGATAGCACCTGAAAGCACATGAACCTTTTAGAGCACCAAAGAAGTATTGGTAGATGTTATATCAATTTCAATGATTTCAGGGACTAAATTTCAAAATAAGAAGGGGAAAAAATAAGGGACCTCTATCGGGGGAAAAACCCAATTATCTACTATGCATGGAAATAATACCATTACTGTGTCACAGGCTGCCGCAGCTCTTGCTGTTGACACTTCTCCTATTAAGACAAGGAGCTGTTAATTCAAATTTAAAAGGGTTTTTAAGATATAAGTACCGATATCATCAATATTTTAAGATAAACCCCTCAAATATTGACATCTTGAATCAAAGTCCCCCGAAACCTTTAAGTTACACCAAATAAGCCCGTCCAACATGGACTTATTTGGCGTGACATAAATGCTTCAGGGGACTAACTTCAAAATGTCAACATCTGGGGACCTATTTCAAATTATGGATGACTCGGAGAACCAATGTCTTAAAACCCAATTTGCAATGTTTTAACTGCTAACTCATATTTCTAACATGGATTAGTTACCTTTTGGGTGAGCTAACTTGTGCATTGCGATAGGGGCAACAATTATTGGTGAAGATAAATTGTAGCCCAATAAGGTCACTGACATATCTATATTTCTCACATCCGCTAGGACCCTCGGTCGTAACCTGAGGATCCATGCAAAAAATAGTTACTTTTTACACATACGTCAACAAAAACTTTATACAAAAATAGAGAAGCAGGTATTGCATAATTCTTTGAAATGCTTTGATGTTCTCCTTCAAGGTAAATTCATCCTCAGCTCCTCCTGTAAAGTAATCATAATGCATTTTTGGAAGAGCTTGTCTAGCGAGCTCTTGGAATTCGCTTACACAAACGGGCTCACTCTCCATTTTTCCTGCACAAACTATCAATTCAAGTAATATTTATATTACAAAGGAAAAAGGTTTCATTGTTAGCTTAAAAAACTTCGAAAACCAGGCGAAGAAAATGTTGGACAAGGGCTCGGTTCTGGTATAAATAAAGCTTTTGAGCAATCCAATCTCATCCAGTAGATGGGAATCATCTCTATTACGACTTGGAGAAGTAGTCAGTGACCTATAAATAATCCCTTAATGATTTTCCAATATTTTGAAAGATATTAAACAACTGAATAGAAATAAGGATTTGTTCATCATCAACTGGACTGAAACTGTAGCCCATCAACAGGGCCTATTAGCTATTATATATACTATCAGAAATTTCGACATAATTACTGCACTTTCATCATTCAGATTATGTATTCAGAAATCATCGGTCAAAATGTTGTATTTCCTCCAATAAACAA